TTGGTCTTTCTCCCATTTGTTGAGTTCTTCCATGATGTGGCTTTTCATTAAGCCACAGTAGGGCTCTGGTCCATGGTATGGTGTTGAGGCCCCTTCCTTTGCGAGGCCATTTGCTTCTTCGTTTCCTTCTATGCCTCGATGACCAGGCAGCCACATCAGCGTTACCTGGTTATGAACAGCTGGAAGACATTCCAGCCCTGGAACCGCTAGACATCCTAAAATTCCTAAAGGACCTAGGACTAGAGGGGCTGCTTTAAGCAGGAAACCCGAACTTAGCAGCAGAAGGAGGGGTACAATAGATCAACCTTGGTCGCAGTGCAACTGACACCTCCAACACACACATACACGCACACCTGGTTCTGTGTCGCTAGTGTTTTTAGGGTCTGTTTATACTCCCAGACTAGTTTTGACGTGCATTTGAAAGCCCTTAAGGCTTTTAAGGCAGCTTGGCTGTACGATAGTATGAAGATGTGTTTTCTTTTGAGGCTTTGGTTAAGACACTCTTGTGCACATATATCTATGGCAAGCAGTTCGGCTTGAAATATTGTAAGATGTTTACCCAATGCCTTGGAGAGCTTGAAGTTAGGGCCGGAGATGCCCATTCCAGCTCCTTCCATTAGCTTGGATCCATCTGTGTACCACAGAGATGCATTGTCTGCTTGTGGTAGTTCTTTATTCTTCCATGATTGGCGGTCGTTTATTACCCCTGCGAAGGGGATCTCTAAGTCCAATCTGACCATCATGTGGTCACTTGGTTTGCTGGCATTCTCCAGTTTTATTAGATCAAGGATTTTCAGATGTGTCCTCAGATCGCCAGGCTTGAACTTGTCTATTTGGAATAGCCTGTGAGCGCTGGTTATTGCCTCCTTTTTCACACATAGGTGAAGTGGGGGCATGTTGAGTAGCGTCTCTAGGACTGCGGTGGGGCAAGTTGACATTGCTCCCGTTATTCCTAGACATATCAGCCTTTGCACCTTTCTTAGCTTAATCTGAGCGGTGACTTGTTGGGTTTTGGGCCACCATACTAATGAGGCGTATGTGACCATGGGCTTTATTATGGTTTGGTAAATCCAGAATACCATCTTTGGCTTTAGCCCCCATGTTTTGCCAACAAGTCTTCGGCATGACCAAATGGCAGATGTAGCTCGAGAGCATGTTTTCTCTAACTGTTTGTTCCAAGTGAGGGTTCGGTCCAGGGTGACCCCTAAGTACTTCACTTCGTTGGAAAATGTTAGTTGTGTACCGTTAAGGGTCGGGGCTTTCAAATTTAGCTTCCTTCTTCTTGTGAACGGGACAAGGATTGTTTTGTTTGCGTTTAGGGATAGTCCTTCGCCTTCGCTCCAATTTTTAACGATGTTTAGGGCATTCGCATTCGGCTTGTCACTATACCATCATGTTTGCCCTTGATTACAATGGCTAGGTCATCTGCGTAACCTATGACCTGGTATCCAGCAGTACTCAGTCTGGTAAGAATTTTGTCTACCACCAGTGTCCATAGTAGCGGAGAAAGAACACCCCCTTGAGGACACCCTCTGACCGTGGTAGCGGTAGCTGATGCTCCGTTTATTTCAGCTATAACGTGACGGTGCTTCAGTATCGACTCTATCCATTTTACAATTGGAACTTCAACATCCCATTCTTGTAATGCTCTGGCGATTGATTGATGTGAAGTGTTGTCAAAGGCACCCTCTATGTCGATGAAAGCTGTGAGAGCGATCTCTTTGCACTCGATTGTCTTTTCAATGTCTTTAACCAGGCAGTGTAAAGCACTTATTGTGGATTTGCCTGGCTGATAGGCAAATTGCTTCGAGTAGAGCGGTCTTCTCAATAGAGTTTCGCTTCTGATGTACTGGTCGATTGCTTTCTCCATTGTCTTAAGGAGAAAGGAGGTTAGACTAATGGGACGATATGATTTTGGTTCGTCCTCGGGTCGGCGACCCGTTTTTGGTATGAATATCACATTAGCTTCCCTCCAAGATAGCGGTATGTGCCCTAGGAGCAGGCTTGCCTTAAAGAGCTTTTGTAGGTGTACATTTAAGTACTCGTAGCCTTTTTGCAGTTGTGCGGGAAAAATCCCGTCTTTACCTGGAGATTTGTAGGGTCTGAAGCTATCGATCGCCCATTTTATTCGGTTCATTGTGAAGATTTTCCCAGCCAGCCTTTTGCTCCTGCCGTTAGGGCTTTGTGGCCCTTCGATAGACGGAGTGACCTGGTTCAGGGCTTCAACGATTACCGAACCTGGAAAGTGAGTTTGTAGTAGTACCTCTAGACTTTCTATCGGTACAGTGTTCTCCGTTTGGCTTTTTAAGCAGACCAATTCCGTTTGAGTGGTTTTTTGAAAGAACTTTTTGGAGACGTTGAGCTGGGGCTAATTCGTCAATCCCCTCGCAGAATTGTCTCCATGATTTCCTTTTTGATTTTCTTAATTCATGCTTGTACTTGTCTAGGGCTGTTCTATAGTCTGCCCAGTTGCCGTTAGTTTTTGCCTTGTTGAACAGTTTTCTGGCATCTTGTTTCAGACGTCTCAGCTGCCCGTTCCACCAAGGCACATCCCTGTGGACTGCCTTCTGTTTTACGGGACAACTGTTCTCATAGGAATCTTTTATTGCATTTGTTAGATTGTCAGATGATGCCTCTAGCTCTTCTATTGTATTTATGTCAGAAGGGAGTTCATCTAGACTCAGGCAGAGACCCTCCACTAAGGATACCCAGTTGGTGAGTTTTGGGATTCTTGTCTGTACTGAGTGATTTATTACTGCCTCTAGGTCGAACCTTATTGCTTGATGGTCCGACAGGGAGGGTTCATTTGACACAAGCCAGTTGGTTATTGTGTTAGATGTAAATATGTCAGCGAGAGTTAATAAAAGTGGGTTTGTTACCTTTGTTGATAATGTCTATGTTGCTAGAGTTCAAATATTCAAAAAGGTACTCGCCACTCAGCCTGATCCTCACGTCGCCCTTCAGTCGTAGGGTACTCAGATCTTTGCCGAGTTCTTCGTCTGAACGTAGAAGTTCTTCTTCTACGTCAGTGGGGCTTTTACAGTTCCCTAATTCCATGTTTTCGGATGTGCTTGAGGCGCTATCATCCTTCGCCTTGATTGTTTGTTTTTGTGTGTCCATGTTAGGTCCCACGAGTAGCTAGGGAAGTAAATCATACGGCCGAGGCAGAGCCCCGCTTGCCCTGGTCGGGTTAGTTAAGCCGTGGGGTCGCCACATCCCTGGAGTTCGCATAGTATCGATTAGGCTTTCCCCTAACCACGCAGTCCTTGGCCTATGCTCTTCCACCGTGATTTGGAAGGATTTTTATTGTGGTTCGCCTTCCACTTGGCCGACCAGTTAAGGTAGGCCCTCACGCCCTAAGATACTTTCTCATCAACCACCGATCTTAAAGCGCGAGATATACCAGGCAGGTTTCCACGGAAGTCGACCCCATCCCGAAACAGGGCCGCGAGACCCAGATTGCGGGCTGAGGCCGAGTCGAGTGTTCTCCTCCACGCTGTTTGTCTAGCAGACACCCAGCATACCAGGATGCTGTGTGTCTGCTTTCCTGGTATGGTGAGCCACCTTTGGTCACGACCAAACGACTTCACATCTCTGCAGCGACGTACGGCCAATCATTTTTCGCGCTTATAAGCGCGAGTCGGCGCTGGTTACCAGTTAGCGGAAACCTGCTTGCACTGTGTTTGTACACTTGGCGTTCTTTTTAGAGCGTGAGCTGACGCGCCCCAGGGAGTCAATTCTCGAATATTCTCGCATATGTAATAAGTTGATTCGAATTTGAATGACAGCAACGTAAATTGAATAGGAAGCAATAAAATCATTTCAATTTTCATATGCGAGATAATTCAAGAATTGGGGGCCAGAGGGCGTCGAAGCCTGGGATTTCAAAGCTCTGAAATGAAAGCACCTGAGTGGAAAATGCATGGACTGCCAGAGCTGCAGATGTTGCCTTCTACAAATCTTCGGTTATTGATTTTTAATAATTTGAGGTTTGTTGTCAGTTTTTAACGAGTTGGGAATTAATAGTTGTGATATAATTTAAGTATACTCGCTATAAAATTGTATTATTGGAATTCAATGACCATTTCACTAATGGACTGGCCCTGGCCATATTCTCGAACAGCGTTTGTTTGCAGCCAACATTTATATCCTATATATTCATATTTGAAATTAGCAGAAGCATTATCTTTAAAATAATAATACAAAAAGCCAACAAGGGGCTAACTTGACGCTCAGCCCCCCAAAATTTTGGAAATCAGATCTAACAGAAATGGATTCCTACATTCAATCTGAAGTGTGCTGTATCAGGTTTCGGTCATTTTCCGACAAAATCTTACTGGGGGGCTAACTTGACGCTCAGCCCCTCCAAAATGTTGGAAATCAGAACAAAAAAAAAAAAATGGATTCTCATTCAATCTGAAGAGTGCTGTATCAGGTTTTTATCAAAACTTCCATATTCGGCCATCTTTCGAGAAAATTCTACTAGTTGATGCTCAGCCCCCTAAAAAATTTTGAAATCAAATCAAACAAAAATGGATTCCGATTCAATCTGAAGTGAGCTGAAATCTCCTCTTAACTGGATAACGGCAAAGTTTACGTAACAGTCAAGAACAAAACTTCTTTATGTTCGTATTCTTCTAGCTTTCAAACGAGAAAATGGCTACGCGCCGTTTATCAATATTTTTCTAGATTAAGTCATTAGTACGCGTCAAAAAAAATACTGGGGTAAAAAATTGCACTAGATTAATTTTGTCAGTTTGATTGATGTCGAAATCGTCATATGTTTTAGTAATTTGAGTTTCGCACCGAAAGTCCATTATTTATATCTGCTGATGTGTAGTAAATGAAGATTAAGGTATACCTACAAATTTTGAAAATTTATCTTATCAATACAAATCATCATGCCTGATTGAAATATCTCAAATTTCCCCTTTCTATTATTTTCCTTTCAAGATAAAACGTATCTTATCTATAGCTGAACAATAACTAACGGATTGTCTCTGAGATTAGAATTGAAATCAAACATGATCGAGGATAATCCATTCAAAAAAAAATTATTGACGTTTTAGTTGTGTGCGCCAAATAAGCAATATGTATTCAATATTATTCAAAATTTGTTTTTTTTTATTTAGCCTTTGCGTTTCTAAAAGTATCCAATCGCAATGTCCAGGAACTTTAATTACAGATTTGAATCAGAAAAGTTGTACTGATAGGGCTACCAACGAGACCGCATATTATTTGGATAGGACTAAGTGTATTCCTAAATGCAGTATTTATCCAACAGGTCAGTGATTTTTATGAATCTTGTCGACTATACATACTCATTTATTTTATAGTTATAATAAATTGTAAGCGATTTCAACACTTAATTTTTTAACGAATACCTTGAGATAGATAATAGATAGATAGGTAGATAGAAAATTGATGTTATCGGGGTCTTAGGTTAGGTAAGGGTTTGCCCTAAAACTGTAGAGCTTGCACTCGGGGGACTATTGGCCCATTGTGTTCCCTTCTTGAGGGTGGTACCCCGCAAATCTTTAACCTGTTCCTCCTTTCTTTGTTTTGTGCCAGTGAATGGTTTTTACGAAGTTCCGTATTTCCATCCAGGAAACCTTGCCGCAGGTGATGTAGGCGTTCCTCCTGCAGGGCTCAGCAGTGACATTGCTTTATTGTTTTCTTTTCAAAGCATTCCTGACTTAGTTCATCGGTCCTCACTTATGTAGCATTTATCCGACTTCACAGTGTCCTGTGATTGCCCGTGCTAGAGTGTTTATCGATCTTTTTCCAGCTTTAATAATTTCCTGATTTTCTCTATATCAGTCATTGCGATTGATCTTCTGCTGTGCAGCTGCGTCTGTTTTGTCTACTAAATCTATAAACATTTTGATCGTTGATTGAGATGAGTCATCTGTTTCAGCTTGGTCCTTTTTTATTCCCAGTTTTGCCAGTCTTTCTGCCATTCCGTTTCCTTCGATATTACTCCAGGAACACAGCTGCGTCTGACATTACTTTTACTGGTCCAAGACAGCGCTTCACGTTAGCTCATCACTATTTTTGATTTCACCATGCCTATGTGATTCTAGTAGTCTTAGCGCTACTTTGCTATCTTCAATAGCTTGCTGCTTTTTCAATAGCAATTAAATCAGCATACAAAATGCTGCAATCATCCCTGAGTCTGTATGACTCTTGAATGTTTAGTGCTTCTGAGTATACTCCGGCTCCAATGCCGGTTTTGTTTTTGCGGCATCTGTGGAAATTGCTATCTCATTATCCCTATGTATAGGGGTTTGATCCCAATTTTCACTTGAAGAAATAGTGACCTTTATCCTGTCATCGAATGAATATTTGGCCACTATGTAGTCCGTTGCCCTAAAGAAATTGTTTCGACCTCTTGGGGGTCCATCATTTTGACCGTATCCTTAAGTATTGTCGAGTGTCCTTAATCGGCTACCTTCCCCAGTTTGGATTCTCTTAGTCCAGGAGCTTCCTTTACAGCTGTGCCTCTTATGAACATGTGAAAATGAAGAACCATGAAGCTGATGGAATCACTACCAAAATAAATAATCATTCGCAAATATATCACCGCATAGCAGGCAATAAGAAACGGATCCAAAATCTACTGCTATGATGACCTGATAAATTGGAATAATTATCTGCAGGCCTTCTAGATATTTGACATCACAGAATATGATCACTACTTGTTTTTTTATCGGCATATTTTTGTGTTAGAAACTCTACCATTTACCCTTTGCATCAAATAATTTGTAAAAAGATAATAATAATAATAATAAAAATAATAAAGTTTATTCATCAAAAACAACATAGAAAGTAATTTCAAGGTTTAGGCAGCATGCAGACTCACATGAACATAATATTTTTTGTTATTTTTCGTGCCTGTTCCATATTTGATTGTGCAGCTGTACAGATGATCAGGGATTAATTTAGCTTCAGCAGGCGTGGTATACCTTATAGTATACCACGCAAAGTAAGCCTTTACCTCGAAAACGGTAAAAGATGAAATAGATCTTAGATTTGTCTTAGAATTTAACCTAGAATCTAGAAATCAGATAAAATAAAAGTTGTTCCATTTAGAAATTACAAGTTGGACCGCTTCTGCAACACCCTGTCTGTATAAATATTACTCGCGAAATTTATTTAGATTTTTTTTGTAAACCTGCAAGAAGAATTGAAAAGGGGGTAAAAATATAATGATTATCTCGATACTTATTTGTCTATACAAAAAAACAGAATTTACATTTTGAAATATCGTAATTAATTATTGTGACAATAATAGATGAGAAATTTCTCTTTTAGATGTTCAAGATGGTAGCTGTGCGACTGATCCGAATGGGTGCATATCCGGATACGTTTGCGAAAGTAGATGTGGACCGCCGTGTAAGTACTCGTCTAGCTTTATATACCTTTAAACTCGATTTTTTACAAAAAAAAAATAAAAATGGGGTAGATACAGCTAATTTTGGGTCAGTTTCTGTAAGACTAAGCATTCGTAGGACATTTGTGGGGACACTTGTGCGCGAGGAAACATGAGCGATAGATCATATTATGAGCGCGTATGTTGATATTTTGCACTCGCAATAGGGGAAAGGAAGTGCTGTGCAAATATTGTTTCGCATATTTATGTCATTGGACTTGATCCTCTTTTCGAATGTAGGTACCAATATCATTTCTGTACGGGACCGAAGTATTTGCGATATACTGAAATAGATCTTTACATATTGTCTTTTTGGTTCAGGGTAGCAATAATTTAACAGTTTTATTGCTATCCTGAACCAAAAAGACACTATGTAAAACCTTAGGCGCTGATTTTGTTCTATCATTTTAGCTCAATATAGAGACACCGTTTGCGAAACAGATGCCGACTGTAAGGTTCGAAATCCAAGAGCAAGTTGCAGTAAGTATTGTGTATTGCCTGTAGTACAGGAATATGTCCCTGAAGGTAACAAAGTGTGTGTTAGACTATTCGTCAATACACCAGCCATATAATTTTTAGTTCCCTGTATGGCCTACCACGCCAATCTTCCAGACTATAAGACCAAATGGTGGACTGCTAAAAAATTTAAGCCTGTATGTGACGACGATGGAAAATGGGCACCTAAACAATGTAAAGGTGGATTACAGGGCAGGTAAATCTTCATCTGAATATTAAGTTAAGAGCCTTCTGTTGAACAAATCTAATCCATTTTAACATAGCAAGCGGGTTTTAGCAGGTAGAGTTTCAGCTGGTAAGTTTCTTACTTTATCAGCGGTTTCTCTAAAGTAAAGCATCAAATACGCGCACGATTCTACCACATACTCATAACTCGCAAGAATTTGTTGTAAGAAGTCATTAGTTCATTACTATGTTGTTGATTGCTCATCGGATGCTGAACGGTAAGGCGGCACGCAAATGTTCCTGCTGGTTAGTAAGAAGTCCTGGACTTAACTGAAAGGGTACTTTTTGATACCCAAAAATTGAATAAGCAGTTCCCACGCTAATGAGCTTTAAGAAAGGTCCATGATTTGCGCGTTAAGCAGTTGTAGGTACTTAGAATGTGAAAATCATGGCTCCAACAACGCTATCAGACAAAAAAAAACGTTTGGAGCTCAAAGTTCTGGGAATAAGCGAAATGACATAGCCGTATGCAAATAACTAGCTGTGATATTGCACTTCTCTGGGGCCCTTCTTAACAAGTATGACATGGAGATACAATCATCATGCACGACTCAACTGCACAAAATGTCTCAAACTTTTCACCCGTCAGAGAATAATGGTGAAGGTAGTTTCAATAAACGTCAACATTGTGCAGGTATATGTACTTATAAGTGAATGTAAAGAAGAGAAAATAATATATTTTATACGCTCAATCAACCATCCTCATCAAGAATATCTCATGAACAGTAAATCCTCATATTGAGGGGTGATTTCAATTTCAACTGGAAAACATATTGGAACCCACGGCCTTGGACAGAGGAATGAGAGAAGAGAGAAACTCTGTAAATTCACAGCAGAAAATGATATTTGGTAGTAATAGACACACATGTTTTCGAACCACCTCTTCGCAGAGTGTATGTGTACCTACCAAGTACCTACTTACCTGAAAATCCCCAAAATATGGAAAAGATGATGCAATCATAAGGAACCAAATCGACTATAGATAATAGTGTATCACAGAACAGCTGCGAAATGGCCAAAATATATCCTGAAGCAGACATAAATTCGGATCACAATCTACTAGTTTCCGATTTCAGGGTGGTACAGTGGAAAAAACATAGGCTGATTTTAATTTGTTTATGTGAAATCTCGCGCCATTTTGAACAGCAATTGATTTTGAGAGTTAAGTCATCATTCTTATCTATTTCCACTAAATTCCACTAAGCCACATTCTCTTACCTTCAAGCCCTTAGGTTGTTTAATTCTTTTCTTTTTAATGTCTTGGTTTCTACGCTCAATTATGATTTGCGCATCATCTTTTTTACCAATATTATACACATCCTGAAATACCTTGTACTTTCATCGTCTTGAGCACTTTTTCCACTACGCTTTTCGTATCTTTTTGTCGTTTAAAGATGCCGGTTACCACAAGGTTATTTTGTTTTTCCATTTGTTCTCTGATGTACATTTTATTTTTAATGGATTTGATTCCTTGTTTTAATATGACATTTTCTTCCTTCACGAGTTTCATTTCTTCCAGCATCTTGTGTACGGCGTTCTTTCGGTTATCAAAAACATCAGACATATACTGAACCGATTTTTTTTAAGTTCACTCGAATTCTTTAATGAACTTCTTAAAAGGCTCCATAAATACTCTGTAAACAACTCTTTTACTTTGCTCTTGATCTTTTTTCCATCCATCTCTTGGTAGTTAAGGTTTTCTTCACTTGTAACCTCACTTTTTTGGCGAGTTCAACAACAAACAACTTTATTTTCTTTATTCATAACTTTTGCCTGTGACGCACAACTAGGGTGGTAGTCTGAGTTACATAGGTACTTCACAACTACGTTAAAAATTCATAATTTTTTACAATGTTTTCATTTTTTTCTATTTTTTTCCACTACTATATTATTGTTTACATCAGCCATAACATGACCTATTTATAGATATAGATTCATCAATACCCGGATGATAAAAAAAAACTGAGAGGCCAGAACACAAACTCAAGAAGGATGAATGCATAGAGATTGAGCCTTCATAGGCTAAACATGACATATTTGGCATACACAAGAAGGTCAAAGAAATAACAGGAAAATTCAAGAAAATGGCAGTGGAAAAATTGAGAATGACGGAGCAAAATTATTGTAGACATAGAACAGATAAACTTAACATGGAAGAATTACGTAGAAGAACCTGTCTTAGACCAAAGAGTAGAACAACAGATAGCGAACACCATGACTGGCCCTATCCTTTTGAGTGATGCTGAGGCAGTAATTCTGTGCATCAAAGAGGAAAGGTCTCCTGGCCCTGATGGAGTGCAGTCAGAGATCATTAAAGTTTTCGATGAAGATTGCAAGAAAGAATTAGCTATATTCAATGAAATATACAAAAGTGGGGCAACTGGGAGCGAAAGGTTTAGTGATAACAGAACAATTAGTACTTACAGAAACTATTTTTAATAAAATCATACATCGGAGCCTGTACAAAATATGCGAGGAACAAGTAACACTATTATTTATGTTTTGTTAATGAATTAACAAGAGGCCCATAATATGCTCAGTTTGCTCAGCGAATAATTATTAGGGGTGGGTCAATAGTTTAATAAGTACAGAATGGCAAGGGCGCCACTGAATTTGTAATAAAAATAAATAATTAAATTACCTACATAAAATATTGAAGTGTGAAGTTTAGAAAAACACCTAAAAAAAAAATCAGCAAACGGTAATAGATAATTTTGAAAACGAAATAAATAAGGCATATAACTCAACCAAATCCTGACATAGGTGAAACCAATAAAACACTCAAGCAATTTCAAATCAAAATAGTATATTATTATATTTTCACAGTGAGGTTAAAAATTAGGTATTTGTTGGTAAAACACTTCAAATAAAATCAATAAATAGAGGTTAACTCTCAATCAGATTCATCAAATTCCGAAAAAAATATATTACAATGTATGTACCTCAATATACTTGCCATATAAGCTCATTAACAGTCGCTGTCCATATGATTTATTTGAAATAAAAATATGAAGGATTGAAGTTCCAGAAAATTTAAAAAAAAGAATGAATTAATGAATGAAAATTATAATATTTTTTTTATAAATATGGTCACCTGCTGCCAGAAAATAAAAGCAAATTAACACTGTATGAAATCAAAGGTTAAACGAAGAAAGTATAAAGGAGATATAACCGAAATCCTCAAGTATATGTATAAATTAGGTATAGTACCCAACTGAAAAATTGATCAATCTTTGACCTTAGGTACTTACTCAATAATTTTAAAGTTAGAACATATTGTCCAACCTCGACCTCAGTTCAGATTAATGATTATGATTAATAAAATATATTTATTTTTTCTTCTACTTGCGTGCGCAAAGTAATCACTTCGCACACTCATTTGCGTGCGCAAAGTTGAACTTTGCGCACGGAAACTCTTTGCGCACTCATTTTTGTTACGCATAATTACCGTAGTTATACTTGATCCTTCCTTTCTTTCATTCAGGTAGTACCTGAAAACACTTTTTATTTTCAGGATGCTACCTATAACGAGGTTAGAGACATAATAAACAACACAAAAAGCAAAAAGAGCAGAGACTGTTTTGGTTTCACAGTTGAAATCATTAAAGGTATCAAAGAGCTGATAATAATCCCCTTGACTAAACTTATGAATCAGTGTCTACGAGAGAATAGCTTTCCATCGGTTTTAAAGAGTGCGGTTGTGGTTCCGGTCACTACTGCCAATACTTTCAAAGATCTTTGAGAAGTTTCTTGCCGTACGTATCATTAACTTTTTTCAGACTGAGAACCTGTTTACCGACAGCCAATTCGGATTCAGGAGTGGCTTAAATACAACATCAGCTGTTCTTAATCTGGTCTCTCAGATACAAGAGTCCTTTGAAAATGGTACGTACATGTCTGGGACGTTCTGCGACCTTAGCAAAGCCTTTGACTGCGTTTCACGGAAAATTTTACTTGCCAAACTAAAAAAATATAATTTTTCCGATAGTAGTATCGCAGTTCTATCTAGTTACTTATCAAACCGTCCTCAGGTGGTGAGGGTTGGTGGTGTGGAATCCTCGGAGAGGGAGGTGCTGGTTGGTGTACCACAGGGGTCAATCTTGGGACCCCTTTTGTTTCTTATTTATATAAATGATCTACCTCGAGCAGATCACATCGCCCGGTACACCCTCTTCGCGGATGACACTACCATAGCTTGCACCAGCCATGATTACGAGGGAACTAGGACGGCGGCGCGTGAGGCGCAGGAAAGGGCAGAGCTCTGGTTCAAGGCCAACAATTTGTTCTTGAACATGGCCAAAACTCAAAACATGGTCTTTTCCATGAGATGGCTTCCGGAAGATGATGTCACTGCTAAATTCTTAGGCATAACTTTAGATTCTAGACTAAGATGGAATCATCACACATCTTCCTTGGTTTCCAAATTAAGCTCAAACACCTTTCTACTTCGTAGGCTGTCAGACAGTGTATCCTAGTCAGTCCTGAGACAGGCATACTTTGCCCTTTTGCACTCCCATATATCTTATGCAATTTTAATTTGGGGCCATTGTACTGGCGCAACAGATGTCTTCCGTGTCCAGAGACGTGCAGTTAGGGTTATCGCAAACTTATCATACCGTGATGACTGTCGACACGCGTTTGTGTCCCTAGGGATCTTGACCGTCCCTGCTCAATTCATTCTTGAATGTGTACTGCATGTGAGGAATAACCTGCATAATCTTGACAGGCATGAGAATGTGCATTCCTATGAAACCCGCAACCGTGGGCAACTAGTGCCCCCGCACAGACGACTTAAAAGAGGTCAAGATGGCCCTGGCTTCCTTGGGATCAGGCTTTTTAATAAGCTGCCCCCTCACGTTTGGGAGATGCCCCCCAATACTTTTAGAAGGGCTTTCAAAGATTTTCTTCTGAGTAAGGGATTTTATAGTGTTAGTGAATTTTTTAATTGTAATGTTATCCTTTGAAAGTGTGATGTATTCTATAGTACCTGACTTGTTTTTTAAATTCTTGTTTTTTAAATTGTGGTAAATTAGGATTAAGTTTTACAATTTTTTTTAGAATTTTTATATAATGAATAGTGCTTTACTCTATTTTTTTTATTACATTTTTGACGTGTGTAAGTACTCTGCTCTGTATAATAACATGAATAAAGAATTTGAATTTGAATTTGAATTTGAATTTGAATTTTTGATGGTTTCTGAATAAACTAATACTCAAAATGAAGGGTAAATTAGCGCTTAGTATTAACATGATGTTTTCTATCGAAGGTGTCCAAATTGGACCAGCCTGTACTGCTAGGAATTTGTAGAATTTTTGATATTTAAGAGACTCTCATGAAATTATTCTAGCTGGTATTCTAGAAATTCCAGAAGATGTTGTTAAAAGATTTTTGGGGGATTTAATTTAAAAGACAGTCTGAGGAATTCCAATAGATTTTAAACGATTTTTGAAGATTTTGAGTTGATTAATTTTTCTAATATTTTAAAATTCAAATTCTACTTTTTTAAGATACTCGTAAAAAAAATATTGTTCCCAATACTTGTGCAAAGTGTCTTTCCCGCACTCAAAGCTTATTCGAACTCCGCCTCGCGTCGTTCGTCTAACTGCTTTTTCATGCGGGAAAGTATCACGTTGCGCACTTGTTAGGAAAATAACTATTTTAAACATGGCGGTACCAAAAATGAAGTAAAAATAAATCTATAATAAATTCGATAAATCGAAAATATAGCAAATTAATTATTCCACCATCACCTCGGTGTCAAGAATGCGAAAATTTGCGTTAACTCGTAGTAGACAATTTTATTACAGGTGCCAGCTACGAGATACTCGTATTTTGCATCGTGTCGTTCAAAGTCAAGTACGAGTATATTCGTTGTAAATACTTGCTAATGGGGGCTGCCTGGCCTACGGGACATGTATAGGACTTTCACACAGACATGGTTAGTAAAAGATTTGTATTCATAAAAAAACATTAGAGAACAAGACAAAAAAAATCAATTTTGTCAAGCATGGTAGTCTTTGAAACAACCATCAACACATAGTAATGCAGGTTTTTCCTCACAAATTGCTCAGAAATAGCGGTTTTCACGTCGTATTTTCTTATTTTCGCCTGATCTGATCTGATCTGATCTAGTCGTATTTTTGTATTTTCGCCTGATCTCACGAGTTAACTCGTAATTGGCACATGGATATAAATTTTCATGTACAGGGTGCTGTAATTTCGAGTGTTTTGACAGGAAAAACATACTTCCAGACCAGATAGAGGAAAATTGACTTAGATGTCATGGGATCGATTTTCGAGAAACGTCGATTGTCAAAAACTGTATCGCGATATCTTCAATAGTACCATTAATACAGGGCGATTTTCGATTTTCCCCTATTAAGAAAAATGGCTATAAGTTTTTTATTTATCAATTTTTTTTATTTCTGCAAAAACATTATGGAGACACTTTTTTGAGCACAATCCAGTGGCGGACTCTGTTTTTCTCTATATCGCTCCGATTCCGAGATATCGACCAAATTCCGATATTTTCAAATGAAGCACCCTATATATTAATAGCTTATTGGATAGCTCTGTTTTTGCTGATTTCAATGATATAAAGTTTGATAGGTTTATCTCTAACAGTTTTCGAGAAAAAAAATTATATATGTTTCGGTCATAAGAAACAATGTGTTAAGCCGCGTCCAGATTAGTAAATAAATGCGTTGCGTTGAATTCGGAATTCGCCACAAATTTTTGCGGCGCAAATTTGGCATTTTGGCCGACATAAATATTTGTGTTGTGCGCCGTGCGTTCTTGCTCAACGCGTGTGTGCCTTTTTTTATTTCAGTGTGCGCGTTGCTTGTTTTTGGTCATTTGTTTCGTTCGCGAAAAAATGCGACCACACTGGAACGATGTTGCGCCGGAAATCCCTATGATGTCTTGAAAAAAACCGACCGTATGCGGCGAACAGGTCCACACTCGCATAAATTTTTATCGTACAAACAAATTTGTGCCAAATACCACGCACAACGTAAATTTTTACTAATATGGACGCGGCTTTAGACAGAGACCTTCCTCATTCTCCTTACACATATAAAATCCTTTTCTAACACATTGTTTCTTATGACCGAAACAGATATAGTTTTTTTTCTCGAAAACTGTTAGAGATAAACCTATCGAACTTTATATCATTGAAATCAGCAAAAACAGAGCTATCCAATGAGCTATTAATATATAGGATGTTTCATTTGAAAATATCGGAATTAGGTCGATATCTCAAAATCGGAGCGATATAGAAAAAGACTGAATCCGCCACTGGATTGTGCTCAAAAAAGTGTCTCCATAATGTTTCTTCTGGGTCCGATAAGGTAGATACTTTTTCCACGAGAACGGTAATCACAGTTGAGGAAGATGGCTGCCCCCCGGCTACAGTCGACCTTTCAGGGCAACGGCAAGATTAAAAAGTTAAGAAGAAACGGACAATCTCTACAGACAGAGCTTCCTTTCAAAAAATAGTCAACGGAAAGTGTTGTTACTAAACTGGTACTTCAAACTTAAACGAAAATCGTGCCCTCTAGTTTAATAATTGCTAATATTATTTGCAACAGAAACTTTTTTTTTATGCTAGTCACCAGACTGTCAACATTAAATTATATTAAATTTGAAAGAAAAATAAACAAGTAACATTTGCAATGTTACAACTAGCATATTTTGGCTTTATGAAGGAACTTATAACAACAGACGCTATTTTGACAAAATTCTAGTTCACCATAATAAAACCACGAAAGTCCTGGGTAGTAGAACGCATGTCGAAATACACATACCTAGGCAAGTTATTAGATGAGAAGTAGGATTATTCTCAGGAGATAAAGGCCAGAATTGAAAAACCAAGAGCAGCGTTCATCCAAATATCTAAACTATTCCAAACACTACATAATGTGAATCGAAAATAGGACTCTGATGCTACATTATTATTTTCCATCGTAATATATGGACCTTGACAGAGCAACAACAAAAACACTGGAAACGGTCGCGATGTGGAATCTTGGAGAATCCCGTTTGCAACATCCCCCTCCATCATCAGGGCCGCAATAAATAAAATTATCATTGCCAGAATGATTTACAACATTGGGTAAAGGAAAGGCAGCATTTCTGGAACAATCCCATGTTAACTGGTTAAAGTTGTCCTTGAAACATAGTCATGGCTACGAAGATCAAACGTCTTAGAATTTACCTACCTACCTAATAATGTTTGGATATTTTTTTTACAGATGTATGTGCTACAGTGCTGACGGTCATCGATTGTTTGGACAAGCGCTTTTTGCTGATTCAGCTAACATGACATGTGGTAAGAATTTTATACTTCGGAACAGTGCATGTTCAAAAATTTATATTATTTCGGTACAACGGATAAACCATTGGTAAATTTTATACATTTATTCACTTTTCTTATAAATTATTTCCCCCATTTCCTGATTCTTCCTCGTACTTCGCATAATTTCTCTGCAATTCTTTACATTTTACTTACCTGATTTTTTTTTCTACGAGATTACGACACGTACTAGGTACCTACTTTTCGCACGCAAACGAATTAGGAAAATTGGACACTAGTACGAAGACTATTGCGGAAAGTAAGGCAGTACATATTTATGAAATCCAAAGTTTGCAAGAATTTTAAATTTTCCCTTGTGATTTTCTCTTCTTCCGATAAACGCGATATTTCGTTATTAGTAACGCGCAGTTTACCTCTAGATGTTTGCGAGGGTGCTGATCATTCATTCATATCGCTTCGTTCGTTTGTTCACCCTTTCGAGCCCATACTCTACAATTCAGCCTTGACTCTACTCCTTCCCATTCACACTTGGAGACTAGATGGTTGGCGCTAATTCCGAGGTCCACCACTAATTTTGCTTGTACGTTGACGAGCATAATGCATAATTACCATAACCTCAGAAGGCCTGCGTTATACTAACGTTGCACTTTTTGGCAGTGGGCCTACGATCTTGGGCGATACTATAGACTTTCCACCACCAAATATTTATACCCAAATAATTATTTCCTTCCTCTCCCATTATTAGCTTGCAGCAGAAAAATATCCGATCTAGAATCTTCCGGGCGTAATTATTTGTCATTGCATTGCGACAGTATGGGTAACTTTGAAAAACTACAGTGCGACATAGAAAAAGAAATTTGCTGGTGTGTGGAACCGTTTACCGGAGACCTAACGGCGCCTGTGGTACCTTATGCAGCGATGAAGAAGCTACCTTGCTGTAACTATTGGAATAAATCATCAAGAGATAAAATTTTTAGTGCTTTCTGTTTTCAGATGCCGAAAGTGACATTGGATCGCAATACCTCAGACAATGCGAAAGTAAAAAGTACGCCAGCACAATGGTTACAGTTAAACTAAAAGCTCATGGGGTGAAAATTGTGGAATCGGATTCACTTTTATGTGACAATGATGGTAGTTATGGAGCGTACTCGGTCACTTCTGGAATGTAGGAGACTGCTGTCAATAAGTAAGAAATTGAGTCTAATTAATTTTTTTTGTAGTGCGTATTGCACTTGGCGAAACAACACCAAAATTGGAACTTGGCAAACAAACCTGTCTGGCATGAAGGGTACATTGACTTGCAGTAAGTAACTAATGATCATCTTCCTTTCTCTAACAATGTAGCGGTAAGACCCTTAAACTGATGCAAGGCCTGTTCTAAGTGATTTTTTTTGTTCTATGCTGCAATGTATGCATTACCCGAGGCGACACCTTCTTGAATTGCGTACTTTAGATTCATAAAATTTCTACAAAAACTCAATTATTTTTCAAATATTTTAGATTGTGCAAGAGACTTTTACATGTATGGACCCTCGCAAGATTGTGAAGGAAGTGGAAACTATGTCTTATTACAAAACTACGTAGATGAGAATAAAAAACGATGGTACTATTGCGTGGGTGAGGATGGCTTTGCCAAAACGGACTTATTGGAAGATTCGACTACAAATTGTACACTCTATTATTAATATGATTAAAATTTAACAGAACAATAACATACATTTTTTTATTATCAATAATATGTCCGATTTCCTCGCCACGCAGATCGCTCATTAAAATGACTCTGGGGCGCCGATTGCATCGCGGCTTTGTCATCCTCAGCGGGATATCTACAGTCAGCGAAAAGACTTTATAATGCGAGATTGATTGTGGTCAGATTACGATCTAAAACAAATATACCCGGCGTTGCAGACAACTCAATTTGAGGCCTCACAAACGCTATGGCGTTGAGCTATGGCCATGATGGAATTTCGTAAATTGTCTGCTAACAGATGTTGCTGGAATATCTAGAAGTAGATATTTGACTTTGAAATTGAAATTATATAACTTGATTTTATTATCAAATCTCGCTTTGATCCTACATAGTTGATCACTAGAACCTTGTTGGGTTGGATGTGCAATTAAGAAATCAAAGTATCCCGATTAATATGACTTACCTATGACAAATTTTATAAATTATTTATTATTTTACTATTATAATTCGCATACACAGGTGATTTTCAGTTTGTATTTTGTAGGACTTCTAAAGGATGACACCACTTGCTATTTGTGCTCGCACTATCATTCTTGTTTTCTGATTTGTTGAATGCCCACCCGTGTTGCTCTGACGATAACTAATAAGTTCGAAACAGGTTTGTAGGTAAAGATTTGTAATCGATTTTCTCTTCATTGTCTTACAAAGCACAACCACACGTATTAAATATTCTTACTGCGTCTAGCAGTAATCAACCTCGTGTGAGGTAAATGGAATGGATTGTACACTTAACACTCGTATTATGTCACTACTATGAACGTTCCATAATATGGAAAATATTCCGATTATATATCACACTCTCAAGAAGATGCACTTAGTGAAATGCTGATCATAAACTAAAATGAGTTGTATTAGAGGTGGGCGTCGAAATTACATAAGACGATAAAGCGTCACAGTCAGATGGATTTGATATAAAGTGCGACAAGTGAGTGAACCTGTGTGAAAGGAATGCGGGCAAAACCCTCCTGATTGGCCCGAGATTAAATATACATATACGCCGGTCGTCGCGTCAGGGTAACCGCAATTTTCGCCATTCACCACGTCGAGGCCCCGTCGCGTCGCATAGTATAGGTTTTCGTCTTCCCCTCTGCTACCTCAAACGTTACCAAGGTTGACTCGCTTGTCGCACTTTACTTACCAATATGTTAAGTGGACACTACAAACTCTTTTAATAGGAAGCCACAGAATTAGGAGGTGACTATATAAGTATATTGTTGAATAAAAATGGTAAATCCAATAGAAATTGTTTAGTGGGTATTACAGAATGTATTTGTTTCTACGCAAAATGGCTAACAGATGGCGTCGCCTGCTCTTGTCAGTTTTGCGTCAATAAAGTAGCACTTTATTTTATTGTAAAATAAAGTGCTACTTCATTTTACTAGTAAAATAAAGTGCTACTTTATTGCTTACCTAGACTACCTGACAACCTGCCAACGTGAAACAGGTATACTCGAATTTTAATCTTTTCATTCAATTTTTTAAATTTTTCATAAAAAAACAGTCGCAATCGTACATAAAATCATGTGTATAACGCTTACATAAACAGGCTTTATTGACTCATTATTTAATAGCTTCGCTCGCAAGCTCGGTCGGCCATAAAATTATGCGTACAATAAAGCTTTACTTTATGCACCTGTTATATAAATAGCTATTGCCATCAACTTTGTCATTATCATAAGTTGTCTTTTGTAAAAGTAATGTTTCCTTTCTCTTGAAATAAACAATCTAGTAGTTCAATTACAGCCTTTATTAGTTGTCCTCAAGTGGTTGAGGGCCTAGGCATAGCTAGAAATAAAGGCTGGTAGTTTAAAAGTGTGGGGGCCAGAAAAATAGAAAGGAAACTTGTGCTGTGCAATTTGTGTGAAAGTACGTCCTTGTTCAGCGATTGTTGGAATTTATGATGGAGGTGGATCAAGGCACATTGCTAAAGTTGATTGGCAATGAAAACTGGATGTTGTGGGAGTTTCAGACAAGAGTCATGTTGAAAGGGAGAGTGTTTTATGAGGTTGTTAATGGTGAAAAACAGAAACCTTTAGCTGCAGGAGCGGAGTTGAAAGTTGGCTCAAAAAAGATGCTAAAGGCCCGTTGACGCATCTATTGTCCTGTGAAACATCATGTGGAATGTGGACCAAGCTGAAGTCAATTTTTGAGAGGGAATCTCAAGTAAGTTTGCATTTACTGCAGAAGAGATTTTTTAATATGTCCTGTAGTGACAATATGACTGGTCAATTTTATTTCGCATCTAGAAGAATTAAAGACCAAGCTGAAATAAGCTGGGAAGGAACTGTCTAAAAAAATGCTTATAACGAAAGTGCTAATGTCGATTCCAGAAAGGAAATGGGACTCTGCTCCTGAGAACGATCAGAATTTATCTGAGTTGACATCAAGATTGCTAGTAGAAGAAACAAGAAAAAAGATATAAATTCAATGAAGAACTCACAGCTTTAACTGCTGGTTGTAGCGGAGGGAAGTTGAGAGGGAATTAAAGGAACAACGAGAATAGAAAGTGCTTCTTATGTCAGAAAAATGGTCATTTGGTAAAAGATTGCAAAAAGAAAAATAAAAATGAGCTAAATGTCATTTTTATCAAAAACCAGGCCACAAAATTGAAAACTTTGAATTCGGATGAATAAAAATCAAAATAGAGGGAGAAGAAACGATGACCCAGCAGCCCTTGTTGGAACCTCAGGAGCAGAGACATGTGGAAATTCGTGCCTTGACACAGGAGCAAGCGAACATGTGTGTAGTGATCCAAGCCTGTTCGAGAGTTTAAGTGAATTGAAAAGTAACCAAAAGGTGAAAATTGGAAATGGAGACCTGCTAGAAGTGAAAGGGGTTGGAAGTATAAAAGTTTTGGCCTACACTGGAGATTCTTAGAAAGAAGTTATCTTGAATGAAGTTTTTTCTGCACGACATCTGAAATTTAACCTGTTTTCTGTGGGTCGAGCCTTAAATAAGGGTTTTCGAATGATCTCTGAAATAAAGTGTACAAGCTGAAGTTTTTTATTGACTATTTCACTAGAGTGTATTACACCAGCAATAAATTCGGTATTCACCTGACAATAACGCTACCTGGACAATACCAACAACATGGTATTTCAGCGACCATCTTTTGACATTGTCAAACTGGTATTTTTAATTTGAAGTTTTTATTCATAATTTTGCATTCTATTTATTTCAAAATCTTACGTAAAATAGTCATAACGAATACCACTCGAGAAAAAATTGTGTAGGCAAAATTGTTCTCAAGGTTTTATTCAAGTTTGTTGCTTTTCGGCAATTTCGCTCATGACATTTTTGATAAAATAAAAACTTTCATACCTTTCGAAAATTTTGCCGACAAAATTTGTTCTTTTGTGATATTATATATGATAAGAATGGGAAAGAAAAAACTGTCAACCCTGAGCTCAATCCAAGGAATAGTGTTCTGGATTGCAACAAAGTTGAAAGTGTGGAGAATTTGAGCACCTGGCATAAGAAAATGGCACATCAAAATTATGCTCATGTGAAAGATGTATTGGAGAGGCACAATATCCCATTTGTCAACGATAGTGAACTGTGTGAACAATGCTTGACTGGTAAGCAACATAAATTTCCCTATCTTAGTAGGAGTTCTAGAGCCACCAAACCTTTAGAACTGTTCATGCCGATGTTTTTTGGCCCCATGGAACTCACATCCTTGGGTGGTTCAAGGTACTTCTATTGATGGATGATTTTTCCTCATATAGGAATGTGTATTTTTTAAAACATGAAGATGAAGTCAAAAGATGCATAGAAGAATTTATACCCTTAGCAAAGAATCTTACAGAGTCCAAGATGAAAGTTTTAAGGTCGGATGATGGCTTAGAATTTGTTAACAAGTCTCTTACAGAACTTTTGAAGAGAAAAGGCATCAGACATCAGTGTTCAGTGGTATACACACCAGAACAAAATGGCCGAGCTGAAAGGAAGATGCGAACCTTGGTGGAAGCAGCCAGAACTATGTTAAATGGTGAACAAAAGAATTCATGGGCTGAATGCATCAACTGTGCAGTTTATGTTTTAAATATGTCAGGAAACACACCAACCAAAGGTAAATCTCCATGGGAATTGTGGGCAAAGCAAAAAGCAGATTAAAAAAAAAAAAAAAAGTTTTTAATCAAATTTTCATATTTTTGGTCATCGAGTATCTGTACATGTTGCAAAGGTAAAAAGATTGAAATAGCACGTGAAGAATAAAATTGGAATGTTTGTTGGGTATTGTCATGACGTTAAAGGATACAGAATTTATTTTCCACAGACACAGAAAGTAGAAAAATACAGAGATGTTGTTTTCTTCCATGAACTACCTAACAAAAGAAAGGGGAAGCAGATTACATCCAAACAAGAACCTAACAAGATTGTTGAGTCAGAAGTACGGAATTATGACCTTGGAGGGGAGGCTCCGCAGAATGATGGTAATCAAACTCAAGATGATGGAGTTGAAGATGAAAATTATGACCTATTTGAAGAAGATGAAGACAATGAGGTAGTTGAGCATGAGAGAACAAGAGATGGGCACGGAAGATACAACTTAAGACCAGTTGTTCGAACACGTCGTGCATTATCAAATGACTAGATACTAAGTGCAGCAGCGAGTGTTGTTGATGGTGAACCATTGACTTATGAAGATGCTATAAATGCAAGTGAAGCTCTGGAATAGGCAAATGGTATAGAAGAGGAAATCAAGTCTGTTGAGAGGAATGACACATGGACAGTGGTGAAAGACAGTGACAGTAAGAAAACTATGCAGTGTAAGTGGGTGTTTAAGAGGAAAGAAGATGAAACTGGGAAGATCACAAGGTACATGGCCAGACTTATGGCTAAGGGATTTCAACAAACTGGAGGCATGTCTTTAGGTGATATAGCCCTGTGGCTGAGTTAACCACCATACGAATTTTTGTCAGTATATGTAATCAGTATAAAATTCCTATTTTTCAGTTA